GAATTTTCTCTGATTTATTTGTCTGTTGTTCTATATTCTGCTTTGTTCAAGATTTTGCATTTGCAAATATCCATACACTGCAGATTTGTTTTTTTCCTCTGCATCTCACTATTTCTACAATTGAATAATGGTGCAGCTGTAAGTTAAAAGTCAAAATGGCGATTCAAAATGGCGGATATTCATTTTTTTTCAAATTATTTCTTAATGTCGTTTTCATAGGAAAAGGATTTGTGAATATCTTACCGAGCGTAGTACAACTATGTAAACAGAACACTAATATTATCATTTTAATTCGGAAAATTTATATAGTTTAAATTTGAAATGTGTTAATTAGCTCAAAATGGCGATTCAAAATGACGTCATATTCACTCGAATTTTTTAAAATACCCAAACTGCATTAAATATGAACAAACAAAAAATGCTAGAAATTTTTCTCTCTGGAAATAGTTAAAACAAACTCGACTTAAGAGTTTCCAAATTTTCCCCCTCGTATTTGACCGTGTTCCAAATCCTTTGAGCCCCTATCCACCTAAATTCATTCCTGAATCGCTGTTATTAATTATCAACTCGCACTTCTTCTTTGAACAACATCCCTCAGCACACCATCAAATATAACTGAAGAAATTCTTGTCCTATTTCATCGGAAACTTTGTACTAGCTTTTGAAATTAGCACTTATAAGAACTTAGTATCATCCCCTAACATCTTCTATTCCAGCTTTATGTACTATATGTTTCAGTCTGTCTTCGGAATTTTGGTATTTTCAACTCTCAAGTAAAATGGTGCCCCGTGTCAAGGATGACAACCCTCTTGCACGCTAAAGATCATTTCTCTGGAATTCGAAAAAGAGTAAGTTCACTGGGGGCCGCCAGAGAAACCAAAATCCTTCAAAAACCGATTATTATACCCTCCGCTTGAAAAGTGGGAGGGTATACTGTATGTCCGTCCGTCTGTCTCTTACGCTTTTGGGTACCCATCTCTTATCCCTAACTCTTATACCACTGAGTGAAATTTAATGAAACGTTCACAGAATCTTTATAACATATTGTCATTGTGCACCTCCTATTTTACTTTTTGATTCGACACATATTTTGGGTTTCCCGGCCACAGCAATACACGGACTTTGCTATTATAACCATATGGGAGGCGGGGGTATCATTTAGTGAGCACATTGCTCACAGTACCTCTAGTTTAAACTGATAGTCCGCCGAAACATGGCTGAAAAATTGCCCACTCGGCGTCAAACAATATACAATCAATCAATCAACACTCAAGGAACAAACATTTATGTTCAAATGTTAACAGTATATTTTGTTTTCCAAAACCTTATGCAAAATGAACTAGAGGTACTGTAAGCAATTAGCTCATTAAATGATACTCCCGTCTCCCATATGAATATAATGACAGTGTTCATGTTTTGCTATAGGAAACCCAAAATATGTGTCGGATCAAAAAAGTAAAATAGGAGGTGCACCATGGCAATATGTAATAAAAAATTCTGTGAAAGTTTTATCAAATTTCATTCAGTGGTATGAGGAGTTGCAGATAAGAAATGGGTACCCCAAAGCGTAACAGACGGACGGACGGACATACCAATTACTCTATACCCTCCTATTTTTCAAGCGGGGGGTATAAATCGAACCTCTGATATTCAAGATATGTAGCTCTTTATTTTGTGACCGCGTATAGATTTGTTGTCTTTTAGGGTAGAAAGGTTATTCTATTAGCAAGAAAATTCTCAAACTTTATCATCTGGAATCACATTCTGTGCATATTTTGGTGAGAAAAGTTGTATAATTATGCAATTTATAATTAAGAGCGCCTGCAGATTCCTCGTGATCCCTATCACCTACAAACTTTCGTACCAATAGACCTAAGCCATTCTTGACTTCGATCTAATCAACACTTCTCTTGACAACAAAATTTTCTTGAACACTCCAAGAACTTTACATGTACAAGGCAACTTGATCCACACTTCTTTGTTAGGATAGTGTAAGGTTATATCAAGAATCGAGGCGGGTCAATTGAACTCAAACATTTTCTTCTTTCAGATTGTGTAAATTTCAAAATTTTAAAATTTATATACACTGTTCAATACAATATTATGCGTTCACAACATGAAATATTTTAGGATGCAGTTAAATTTTTGACTGAGAATAACAAAATGAAAATGTAGGGACACAGAATCAGAGCTGAACAATCAAGAAAATTTATGGTTTACGTATATTATACTGATAATTCTTCATAAATGTTTATATTTGGAAATTATAATATACTCTTCAAAAAAAGAAACGCATAGCAGAATTTTAGTGACACATTGAACATAAAGATTATTTAGTAAAATGATGCATTGATAAAACAGAAATGTGGTAAGCAACAGGAATGCTATCTAAATGTCATAATTACTCAACCAATTTAAAATTATCGTCTGTTTAAGACTATTAAAGATCAATATCTGGTATGACCCCCGCAGACACAAATGATAGCCACAAATGACCTCAAATGGAAACAAATGTGTGTAATAAAAACTGTATAGGAATACTCTCCCACTCCAAATGTAGAACTTTGGTCAGCTGCTGCAGAGTCTAGGGATGCCATTGTCTTTGGCAAATCATTTCAATCCATTTTGTCCAATGCTGCTTAATTTGGATTCAATCTAGCGATTTAGATGACTGTGGATGAAACAGATTGTTGTTTCTTTGCAAGAATAGGTGTATCAAACGAGCCATATGTGGCTGTGTATTGTGAGATTGCAATACGGCTCTAGGATGCTGCAAAATTGAATGGGTATGTGTAGGTAGAACATGGTTAGAGTACCTTTTCCCATCAAAGTCCATTGAATTCAAACGAAATCAATCTTACTTTCTTATAATACCGTTTTCCATATCATTACACTACCACTACCAACCTTTTTAACGTCCTGGAGGCAGTTACCAGTCTAACATTCATTACAAAGCATTAGCACTCTTAAACTTATAAGAAGCTTTCAGATAAACATTCTGGACTAGTAGGTTAATCAAAATGTTCAGCAGTGACGCTGTGGTCATCCTCTATTGAGCTGAAATCTTTGAAGTCAATATTAGGGGTTTTGTGGGGTCGGAACAATGGCACGAATAATCCTCTTGCAATAATTCGAAGTCAACTGAAAACGGTCTTGTTAGATGATCTATGCAGTTCATGGATAGCTAATGCTTTAGATGACGTCCTTGCATTACATCAAAGCAATTTACGTAATCCTCGGAAGTGATGCTGTGCTGCTAATGTCACACGGAGTCTACCATATTTTTTGCGAAAATTGGGTGGTCGATGTTAATGATTTATGTTTTATAGGTTATATATGGTCTGTGTGTAACATTAAAACCTCTTGCAATTGTAGACTGCGGTACCCCTGCTTCCAGTCTCCCATTTTCCTTTTTTTGCTACGCGACATTCAGATGCAGCATTTTTAGGAAGCGTCATTTTTCAGATAAAACCAGATTCAAAATATCGAGAACCCCCGCTTTTGATAGCCTCTTTGTACCTGAAGGAATTGCATCGGAATTCAACAAATGAAAATTGAGATCAAAATTTTGGGGGAAATTTTGCAAAATCAGGTCTTTTTGTCTGTGAGACTTGTATAATAGCTGTAAAGTTAACAATTGCATTAAAAAATCATGCATTTCACTCGAATGCATCGTATCCATACAAAAATAAAAGGTATGACAAAACCTCCATACATTTTTCAGGGCATTGTTCCTACTATGCGTTTCTTTTTTTGAAGAGTATATGTTCAGATTAGCCCTCTAATTGGTCTTGGTCCATCATTTTAAAAATTATACTAAGTTATGTTACACTAGACCTTCCACATGAACATAAACATTTTTTTTCGACACAGGACTAAAAATAGATCAAGACTTTCTAACAACTGGTATGATTTACATGTAGCAACCCTCAAACTACAATGTTCACTCGCCTTAATGCTCGGGGAATACTGCTCTTGGGGTAGCTTTATTTTCATATTGTCCTCAAAACATGCAGCAATTATTGTATGATATTATTAACTTTTTTATATAAAGAAGCATGGTGAGACAGGTAATAAGTAAAAATGTCTTCGGAATTATCGTAAAAAAATTATCTTAAAAATAGAAGTATATTAAACAAAAATCCATGTTATAAAAATCCTAAGTCATTAACAAAAATGTCCTCCAACTTTCATTGCATATTTGAACATTATTTCATAAATAAAAAAAACTGTAATTTATTTTCTGCAAAACGAATCAGAATTACGCAGTTTGGGTATTTTAAAAAATTCGAGTGAATATGACGTCATTTGAATTGCCAATTTGAGCTAATAAACATTTTCAAATTTACACGACTAAATTTTCCGAGCTAAACTGATCATATTACTATTATATTGTCATTTTACATAGTTGTACTACGCTCAGTAAGATATTCACAAATCCTTTCTCCTATGTTAACGATATTAAGAAATAATTTGAAAAAAATGAATATCCGCCATTTTGAATCGCCATTTTGACTTTTAACTTACAGCTGCACCATCATTCAATCGTAGAATAGTAAGATGCAGAGGAAAAAATACAAATCTGCAGTGTATGGATATTTGCAAATGCAAAATCCTGAACAAAGAAGAATATAGAAACAATAGACAAAAAAATCAGAGAAAATTCGAATTACGTCTAGAAACGACTAAATCTTCTGAGTTAAACTAAAAATGTTAGCATTCTATTATTCTTCTTATAGTTTTATTACACTCAGTTAAATATTCTTTCATTACTTCTCCATTTTCAACGACATGAAGAGAAAATTAGAAAAATTGGATGTCCGCCATTTTGAATCGCCATTTTGACCTCTTTAACGCCATTTTCATGAAGGCCAGCATATTTTTTCGGATTCAGCATACTCGAAATAGGTTAAAAAACTATGCTGGACCAAATAATAATTATTTGCCGTTAGAAGTTATTTCTAGCCTTCTATTTAAAAATCAGGACCAGACTATTTCTTGGATCCAGTAAATTTCTACCACATACTAGATTCCGGTCCTTAAACATGTGCTTAAACAGAGAGATAAACAAGGTAATGTTTCAACATTTTTATAATATAACAGCAAACTTTAGAGGCAAGGGGTGGTGATATTTGTTTCTGTTACAATTCAGAGTGGATTTAAATAAATTTTAATTTGTTTAGCTATATTGAGCCCTGAGTAATGTGTTTTCAAGTTTTCAATTGCTATCCATAGACACATATCGACTTATGTCCTTCCTTCCAGGCCGATTTCTGACAAGTTTTAGAGCAGTACCAAGCTTTGTGACATCTTCCACACGACGGAAAACCTTTCTCGTCGTCTGCTTCCTTACCACACTGAGTACAGATGTCCGCATCATCACCCTCAAACTGACAGCGAGGACACTCGCACCAGAAGTGATACAGACGGTACAGAAGACCTCGTCTTTGTTGTCGGGTAAATGACGTATCCACATATGACACAAACAACTCTTCTCCTTCTTTGATTGGTCCTCTCGAGATCACGTGTATTCCGGGAGCCTCGTTTACGATTCCAGAAATGATTTCTACATTTCCAGCACAAGAATGGTTTAAACTTGATTGTAAAGTAAACAGTCCAGCGAACACAGCCTCTCTGATGTTGTTCTGTAAAATCTTCTTCAAACTCTGCATTTCGGGAATCTTATCGACACATTTTCGGAATTCGAAGTAAGGATGGTTAGGATCCGAAAACGCCTGAACATTTCTATAGATCTGACCATAGCGAAAGTTGAATTCTTCTGGCGTGATAGTGTAATGTCTGTTTTTATCCTTGTTTGTAAAGATCTTGACCATGAGGTCGAACATTTTTGGAATTCTTTTCGTTATCCCTCCTCGTCCTTGAACTTGAAAACTGATAATGTAAAATCATTTCATTGAATAATTCATAAGAATGAACATTTTTTTATTTTATTTGGTACTTTTTTCATACATTTTTATGAACATTTGGAACATGTTAATTTAAAGCAATATGAGCTGCATGTTTGACATCGGAATTTTTTTTTTGCTTTGTAACTAACCATTTCAGTGACAGAAAAATAAAACATTTATAAACTTCTGTTGTTCATATTTGCGATAGAAATTTTTTTATTAGCTTTGATTGAAGCAAAATTGAATGATTGTCGTCCTGTACAAGTTTCTTATATGATACTGTATATCCGATTGTACAGAAATATTTCTTCTGAAACATTTCTAAATTTTATTTTGGGCTTATTGGTCATAAGGGTTTAAATGACATACAAATTAATCACAATAGCACATTTTACCAGCAAAATAAAATTCTCAAAAATGCAGCTCATATTGCTTTAAAAATGTGGTAGATCAACCGACATATACATGGATTTTGAGAGAGGAAAAAACAATTTACATTTTATCTTCTTCATACTGTACCTGTCAAACTTTCTTTTGGCTCTAATGAGGTCCACCTCTGCGATTTGATTTCTTTCGTTGTTTTCGGCTTCAGTGAGTGCATCACAAAGGATTGTTGCCCAGAGTTTAGCCAACAGGAGGGGACTGAAGCTCTCCTGCCACCAGCCTTCCAGGTTCTCTGAACCTCGGAGTAAGACACTCTTGTACTCTGTACAAATTTTATACAGTTTGGCCGAGTGATCATTTTCAGATGGACATAAAATTCTGTGGTACTTCTTCCATGATTGGCGCCTGCATTCTTCGGAGCAGTAGACTTCAAATGAACAGTGCTCACACTTCACTGGTTTCCGAACTGTCCAAAATTGGTCCACAGCTTCCTTCAATGATTTGTTCTTCTTTAGAGTTTTTGCACCAAAAAATTGTTCTGGAGAAGCCAAACACTTTGAACAAAGACTACATGCTGGAATGTCGCCATAATTGGAATTAATGACAGGAGCGCAGAGAACTGATCCTTCTTGGAAGACAACGGACTGATTGTCAACGCCTGCAGTGGCCGTCACGACTCGTCCTCTGTCTGTAAGCTTGATTGTAATGTCTGAGTTTTTATTTTGGAAGAGTCTCGTTGTCCGGATATTCAGGAACAACTGTACCGCTTCTTGATATGATTCACTTTCATTTTCTTCTGACTCGAAAATCGTCCTTAACCAGTGTTCTGCAGTGACAGAGAGATCGAGCTCTTGCGCTGCTTTGGCTGTAAAGAACGAAGAAACGGTTATTGATGAGGATAATTGATAAACCCAGAACATTGTCTTGGGACTAATATATGATTGCTATGGCACGCCAAATTCACAAAAATGAGCAAAACATAGTTTCACAGTCGACAAACTAAGTTTATAGGTTGTAAACTATAGTTTACGGACTGTAAACTATAGTTAACGACGTTAATCTATATTTTACATCTGTAAACTATAATTAACGTGATAATCTATGTTTCAGAACCGTAAACTATACTTAACACCAAAAACAATCATTTGCGATCGCAAATCATAGATTATCTGATAAATACAGTTTCATGATTTGTAAACAATGGTTTACAACTCTTTTAAAACTATAGTTAACGATCGTAAATTATAGTTTACAGACGTGAATCTATGTTTATCAACAAAATCCATTGTTAGCGTTTTATTACAGACAGATAAACTTAGATTAGCATTCGTAAACTATAGATAACAACCGTTAAATATAGTTTTACAGATGAAAACTATAGTTAACGAATTGTAAACTATAGTTTACGGTTTGTAAACTATAGATTACAGTCGATAAACCTAGTTTATCAATTGTGAAACTTTGTTTAGCACGCCAAATTCACAAAAATGAGCTAATCATAGTTTCACAGTCGATAAACTAGATTAATCGGTTGTATACTATAGTTTACGGACTGTAAACTATAGTTAACGACGTTAATCTATATTTTACATCTGTAAACTATAATTAACGCGATAATCTATGTTTCAGAACCGTAAACTATACTTAACACCAAAAACAATCATTTGCGATCGCAAATCATAGATTATCTGATAAATACAGTTTCATGATTTGTAACCTATGGTTTACAACTCTTAACTATAGTTAACGATCGTAAATTATAGTTTACAGACGTGAATCTATGTTTATCAATAAAATCCATTGTTAGCGTTTTATTACAGACAGATAAACTTAGATTAGCATTCGTAAACTATAGATAACAACCGTTAAATATAGTTTTACAGATGAAAACTATAGTTAACGAATCGTTAACTATAGTTTACGGTTTGTGAACTATAGTTTACAGTCGATAAACCTAGTTATCGATTGTGAAACTGGGTTTAGCTCATTTTTGTGAATTTGGCATGCCATAGATTGCAGTATAAACCAACCTCTTATGCGTATTTAAATATTTAAATAAAAAATGCACGCATCCTCAAACTTGTCTCTATTCATAATAAAGTTGACAAAAATAATGAGTTTTAAAATTTTAAATGCCTTCCTATAAAACAGAAAACATAATAATATTAATACATTTTTAATATATATACTACTACCCCTTTGTTTCATTTTTAATTAAACAATATTTTTGGCAGACCTCCTAGAATCCAGACAGACGAGGATCTGAGTTGTTGATGAAACTTGGTACATATGTAAATACACTCCTTGTACAAATCCGCAATATACAAAGACTTCATCAAAACGACAAAATCACAGCCAGAGGAATCAAACCAGGACCTCACGATGTACATTCCTTTCTGGGTTTCTCCTTTTGTGAAAAGATCTACAACTTCTGTAACTTTGGCCGGGTTGTCCTTTAATTCCACACAATTGTCAATTTTCTCATCACTCGCGTATTCTATCCACCGGTTTACTTTCTCCTCCTCGAAACGCTTAAGGACATCGTCTCCTCAGGCGCGGATCCAGAAATTTTTCAAAGGGGGGGTTGAAGTATTTTTCAAAAGGGGGGGTGGGGGGGTGAAGGCGAAAACAGTTAAAACGTACGTTGTACACATACTTATAGTTAAATAACTCAATAAAATATCGATACAGGATGGAGTATGGATTTTGAAAGTGTAACGTTGATCAGTCTGGGAAAAAGTACTTGCATACATTACCAGAAAGTTTTTGAAAAAGAAAGGAAAATAAATCTCCGAACCTGAAAATCCTATTTTGTAAAGGGATGGGGTTTTATTTTGTTTTTACAAGCGAATTTCTCTATATATTACAACATTAGCCTTTCACCTTTCATTTTCTATAATAAAACATATAAAAAAAACTGGAACTTTCTTATTTCTCTTTCTTTTTTGCAAATCCAAAGGGGGGGTTGCAACCCCCGTAACCCCCCCTCTGGATCCGCCACTGCTACTCTTTTAATTTGGCCATGACTTTTAAGCGGTTTGTGCTGTCCTAGCACATCATCTCAAGTGTATTCTGAGTGACAAAACCTTTCATTATATTTGACCTTGAACTTGGTAGATTTACCTACTTAGAAAAAACTTTAACCTTGGCCATATTTTTTAACGGTAACTGCCAGGGCTTTCAAACTTCACATATGTTATTCTTGTGACAAGACCATTCCTAGGATACAAATAATTTTTACCCTTTCACCTTGGCGTAAGAGTTTGACCTACTTTTTAAAAACTTGGCCATAACTTTTGAACATGTGGTGCTAGGGCTTTCATATTTCACAATTCTATTTCTAGTGAGAAGGCCTTACTTTGGGTACCAACATATTTGATTTGCATTTTAGAAAGTTTAACCTTCGCTATGCTGCCATACGGGAGCATCAGTGTTTCGCAAACACGTCTTGTTAAATTTGTTATTCTTGATTTAAGGGTTTTGAAATTCTCTAATCAAGATGTGATTGTAAGTTTTAATTCAAAATGTGAAGCATAAAGCTTTTAATATGTTTTCACGCAAGAACATGTTTGTCCTTGGAAATCATCAAAAGCATTTTCTGGCACAAAATGCCTCAATATATAAGCTATTTTTAGTGTCTAATATATATATATATACTATTTTTAGTGTCTTGTTTATAAGCTATTTTTAGTATCTTCACGATTGCTGCTCACAACAATGATAGGTATACTAGTATTATTTCTTACATGTAAATAGGAGAACAAAAATTTATATGAGTTCTTTCAATAAAATAAAAAGTATTAAGGTCAGATAAAATAAATGTGAAAGACAGTCGTTCATTCCCCCATACCTTTCTTATTTTTTCCCGCTTTCACGAAAGCGAGGGGGGGGGGCATTAATCTTATTTGTCTGTCCGTCTTTCAGTCTATTTGTCTATCACAATTTCAAACACTGTAACCTTGGTCATTATACTTTTAACTGAGAAGAGCTAGGACGAAAACAGTTAAAACGTACGTTGTACACATACTTATAGTTAAATAGTTAAATAACTCAATAAAATATCGATACAGGATGGAGTATGGATTTTGAAAGTGTAACGTTGATCAGTCTGGGAAAAAGTACTTGCATACATTACCAGAAAGTTTTTGAAAAAGAAAGGAAAATAAATCTCCGAACCTGAAAATCCTATTTTGTAAAGGGATGGGGTTTTATTTTGTTTTTACAAGCGAATTTCTCTATATATTACAACATTAGCCTTTCACCTTTCATTTTCTATAATAAAACACATAAAAAAAACTGGAACTTTCTTATTTCTCTTTCTTTTTTGCAAATCCAAAGGGGGGGTTGCAACCCCCGTAACCCCCCCTCTGGATCCGCCACTGCTACTCTTTTAATTTGGCCATGACTTTTAAGCGGTTTGTGCTGTCCTAGCACATCATCTCAAGTGTATTCTGAGTGACAAAACCTTTCATTATATTTGACCTTGAACTTGGTAGATTTACCTACTTAGAAAAAACTTTAACCTTGGCCATATTTTTTAACGGTAACTGCCAGGGCTTTCAAACTTCACATATGTTATTCTTGTGACAAGACCATTCCTAGGATACAAATAATTTTTACCCTTTCACCTTGGCGTAAGAGTTTGACCTACTTTTTAAAAACTTGGCCATAACTTTTGAACATGTGGTGCTAGGGCTTTCATATTTCACAATTCTATTTCTAGTGAGAAGGCCTTACTTTGGGTACCAACATATTTGATTTGCATTTTAGAAAGTTTAACCTTCGCTATGCTGCCATACGGGAGCATCAGTGTTTCGCAAACACGTCTTGTTAAATTTGTTATTCTTGATTTAAGGGTTTTAAAATTCTCTAATCAAGATGTGATTGTAAGTTTTAATTCAAAATGTGAAGCATAAAGCTTTTAATATGTTTTCACGCAAGAACATGTTTGTCCTTGGAAATCATCAAAAGCATTTTCTGGCACAAAATGCCTCAATATATAAGCTATTTTTAGTGTCTAATATATATATATATACTATTTTTAGTGTCTTGTTTATAAGCTATTTTTAGTATCTTCACGATTGCTGCTCACAACAATGATAGGTATACTAGTATTATTTCTTACATGTAAATAGGAGAACAAAAATTTATATGAGTTCTTTCAATAAAATAAAAAGTATTAAGGTCAGATAAAATAAATGTGAAAGACAGTCGTTCATTCCCCCATACCTTTCTTATTTTTTCCCGCTTTCACGAAAGCGAGGGGGGGGGGGGCATTAATCTTATTTGTCTGTCCGTCTTTCAGTCTATTTGTCTATCACAATTTCAAACACTGTAACCTTGGTCATTATACTTTTAACTGAGAAGAGCTAGGACGAAAACAGTTAAAACGTACGTTGTACACATACTTATAGTTAAATAGTTAAATAACTCAATAAAATATCGATACAGGATGGAGTATGGATTTTGAAAGTGTAACGTTGATCAGTCTGGGAAAAAGTACTTGCATACATTACCAGAAAGTTTTTGAAAAAGAAAGGAAAATAAATCTCCGAACCTGAAAATCCTATTTTGTAAAGGGATGGGGTTTTATTTTGTTTTTACAAGCGAATTTCTCTATATATTACAACATTAGCCTTTCACCTTTCATTTTCTATAATAAAACACATAAAAAAAACTGGAACTTTCTTATTTCTCTTTCTTTTTTGCAAATCCAAAGGGGGGGTTGCAACCCCCGTAACCCCCCCTCTGGATCCGCCACTGCTCCTGGTAAAGGTTTTAGATTGGTTGACAAAGGGGAGACGGGTTTTCGAGTAATTCGTTCGAGCACGCCCTCCTGCATTTTACGGAGACCGTCTTTTAATTCCGAACACGAGGGATAGATGTTCAGAGCCTCCGTAAACACTTCGTACGCTTTTTGAAAATTTTGTGCTTCCACTAAATTTTGGGTTTCCTTGATATATGTCTCCAAATTTCTTTCCATTTTGTACACAATTTATAATTTAGAAGGAATATAGTAATCACATACAGAGTTAATACACCTCACACACTAGTATTCCTCCTCAGTAGCTCATGACTCCAGTATGTGTACCTATACAGGCAGATGGTGGATTGTTACAGGGTTACATGACACTGTTATTTATTCATGATAATGAACATCATATGTCGGTGTGTGCGCTGTGTAATGTATTCATCTTCTCTATACACAGGGCATTGTAAGCAAACTAGACGATTCCTAACTTTTGATAAAAAAAAGAAAACTTTCCACTTATAATAATTTTTAAAAAAGAAAACCTTGTTTAAGGAAATAAATAATTGTACATGTAATATACTGAAGAAAAGACTGACGTGTGATTAGTGCAAGGTATACGGCACCGGAAGAAAAGTACATTGTGAAAGTTTCCTTGAATAGATAAGTATATTATGCACGCTAACAGCTGGTCCTGTTATTTGATAATCAGCAAAATTATCATACAGATAATAATTTTGCATTTTCTTGATTAAAAGAGAAACATCACCTCTCATTTATTGTCCCCTGCTAGAAGGGGGGATATTAATTTCGGTCTTTCTGTCCGTCCGTCTATTGTTCTGTCTGCCCGTAACGCTTTCGTTTCCACGCGATATCTCGAAAATCCTTTGAGCTTTTGCAATGAGTCTCTATGGCCTAAGGAAGATCTCTATTGATTTTAAGGTCCAAGGTCATAAATTGAAAACTTGCGTTTCTGCGCGATATCTCGAGAAACCTTTCAGCTTTTACAATATTTTAAATCACAACTCCATATGGCATCTATTTATTTTGAAGTCAAAAGGTCAAGGTCATGTATTTATACATTTTGTGTGTGTGTATAACATTCATTTCCATGGGATATCTCAAGCTTTTGCAATTAAATTTTATACCTTGACAGTAAAATTTTGATTACACAAATACAAATACAAATACTTTATTGGCACAAACACAATTACAATAATTGGCAAAGGCCCACTGAACAACATTAAATAATGTTTACATATTTTTTCAAGAATTGTCAAGTAATTGACTTCTAAGATCAAAACAGTCTCTGATAAATTTAACAGTAACTTTCAAGACTTTTTGTATATTACTGTTTATACATAATTGTTGTAGCATATATTTCTCATTGCTAAGATTAATATTTTTCTTTGTTATGTTATAAATATTACTAAAGAATGCGTTTCTTAGCTTAGAGTAAGAATTACAGTGAAAAAGAAAATGTATTTCATCCTCAATCACACCAGTATTACAAACATTACAATATCTTTCATTTCTTGATGTGGAAATATATCTACCACTTTCTATTGCAAGTTTATGTGCGCTTAGTCTAATTTTACTAAGAGAGGATCTCTCAGATCTTTTTTTTGAGTAAATCAACATAAGGACTTCTTTTTCCTGAGTATACTTTCTTGAAGAGATCAAGTTTTTCTGAACCAAAGATTTTTGATGTTTGCTCTTGAGTGCACTGATCTATGATTCTTTGTTTAATGTTTGGTAAAAGGTGTTGGATGGAACCTGTATATTTTGTAATGTTAGAGAATCCAAGATTATCAAGAATAGAAAATAATTTTTTAGTCCAAGAATTACAGTTAATTGTGGATTGGTAAAGTTTAAAGGCCAAAGAATCAGAAGTTTTCAGGTGATTCCAATATTTGATACTTGAGAGGGAAATTTTGGACCAAAGTGGTAGTCTTTTAAGCTCTGCTAAACAACCAGCATTGGATGTTTTGCAGTGCACTCCAAGGATGTCTTTAATGAATTTTAAGTGAAAATTTTCAACATTTGAAATATCTTTGGATGAGAGATCCACTCCCCATATTTCACTACAATAGAGAAGAACTGGAAGTACAATAGCATCAAAGAGTTTTTCTAAAAGTTTACATGGGTTACACATAGGGACCCAACGCTACCCTGGGGGTCAAGATTTGAAATTACCCCAACAAATCTTCATTATTTCTAAATCATTTTCTTTTGGAAGAGGGTGTATTTTGAATCCCTTTAAATGTCAAAAGGGGGCATTCAGATTAAATGCTTCAAAAAGTAGAGATAAAGAAATACACAAGTTACAACTCACACCTTTTTATTTGATTTATCACAATTGACATACAGCTTATTAGAGCATAAAAAAATGTCTTAAGTTAATTAAACTATTATTCATGTCATTTTGAATATCAATGAAATGTAAAATTTATATAAAGCATAGAAAGCTTAAACTGTCTAACAAAAAAATGTAAACAAGGTCACAAAAGAGATGAGGGTCTGAAATAGCATATAAATATAAACAAGATCAAACTACATATACTAATTACAATTCTGTAAACAAGACATAGTATTTAGATTGGCAGTTTTCAATCACTTTAACAATGCACACACAAGTACACATAGCAGTGTGTTTTATTTCACAACAATTGATTATGAACTCAAACACAGCTATTGGAAGCATAGCTTCCATATCATTTTGCACATAAACTTAAAACATAACATTTATATATATTATGACTTGCATTTCATTACACTAAACAGAAACTACGAATTCTGATCTATTTTTGATAGAAAATACCTACAGTTTAT